CCCCCCCCCCTTCCTCCCCCCCCCCGCTCGCATGCTCTCAAAACCACCGAAAAATGGTACCACCAGTGCGTATCCAGCACCCGCAGCAATGGCGTATACAGCGTGGACGTGGTCGAAAACCCGCCCATGACCCTCGCCGAGTTCAAGGAGTACGCGGACAAGCGCGCACCGTTCCCGTCCTCCACTGCTTCGGCGGGCTGCCCCGGCTCCGCAGCGGTCGGGGTGAGGCGCGGGCGCTCCGGCGGGGTTTCTTCTGTAGATGCCGCGGACGTCGGGGGCGCTGACGGGGAAGGCGGGCGGGGCAGGGGGCGGGGCGGGGGCGGATGCGGCTACGGCGGCGGCTACGGTTTCAGTTCTGGCGGCGGGAGCGCGGGAAGCGGTGAGTTTTGCACGCGGCCGGGCCACCCCGGAAAGCCTTGAAGTAGGGGGGTTGGAGGAAGAGTACGGTAGGGGTGGTTGAGTAGGTGTTGCCGCCTACCTTATGTGCTAGTACAACAGGGGGTGCAGGTATGTTGTGTCGATGTTGGTTTTGATCGTATAGCCTCTTCGGCTATGGCTGATCTCGATACCGCGCAGCAGGTACCCCGGCGGGCAGCTCACGGGGAGAGGAGTCGGAGGTCGCGCGGAGGGTGAGGATGTTCTGGCGCTCGCTGGGGCCCAACTCGGAAGCACCCGTGTACGGGGCGGACACCTTGGGGACCCTGTTTGCGGGGGACGATAACGACGCTTGGAACGTGGGCCGGCTGGTGAGATCGAATCCGGGGCCGGCATCGGCTCCATTCAATTTTTCCGCCTTCCTTTCGGCTTCGTCCACAAATCATGCTAGAATGTTGGCGATAGACACTGTAAATGAACCAGCTAGGGGGTAGCGGCTGGGGCAGATAGATACCTGGAACAAGATAGCGCCCGCGCAGCGCTGGAACCTCTGACATATGTAGGTCATAGTGATTATTTTTGCATGTTGTTGCCAGCACGCGATCTCGTTCGGCTGCAGAATGGTTGATGGCGCTGAACAAGGGCCTGCGGTACATTTCTACTTCTTTCATAGCGTATTTGCTCAGCAGACGACGCCGGTACTATTTTTTCTGTATCACGTTTAGGATTTGTGACGAGACGACCCGACCGATCGCTGCTCCCTTGATGCGCTGTGTCAAATCATCACTGTTCATGTAGAGCTTTTCGCTCTTCTATACGCACCCTTTGTCCTCCCGCTCCGATGGCAATCGCCTTGCCGTCCAAGCCGCCGCCTTTTTATGCGGCTAACAGAACCCGTCTACAACCCGGAAGCGTTGATCCGTGTGTCGTGCAGCAGTGGCCCGCCCCCGTTGGTTCTGTGTACCGTCGGAAGATGCAAGCGTTGTTGGAGACTTATGAAATCCGTGGCCATCACGCGGTTGGTTGATGTAACCGTAGGTGGTCGATGCAGTCGTTGGTCGCTCTTGGACTTGGGGTCATCCCCCCTCCCCCCCCGGAAACAAGAACTTGCCCAACTGTGGGCGGCGCAGACTCTTGACGAGTGGGAACGTTGGTCCGTGGAAGGAAATGATTGGATAGTCAGTGCTCAAATGACGACCAAGGCGAAACAGCCACCGAGGCACCCTGTCCCGCACGCACTCCTGAGTCGCGGTACTGAACGAAATCCGCAGGACACTATCCTCCAGCTGCTGAAGGCGAACTTGCCCGGAATCACGACCCCGATGCTCTACGCGGGAATGTGGCGTAGCATGTTCGCCTTCCACGTGGAAGACGTTAACCTCTACTCGATTAACTACCTTCACAGGGGGGACCCCAAGTCCTGGTACGGCATCCCCCCGGGTTCGAGACAGCGGTGAGTGTGGAGTTTTTTTTGTGTTCGTGTCGGGGGATCACCTCGTTTTTTTTTGCCTGCATTCGTTGTCGGCCTGGCTGTGCTTGTTCCACGATGCTCTCCATTCTTTGCGACTAGGTCGGGTGGACGTAGGACGGCAGCACCGGCTCACGCCGGCGGGGGGTGCAGTAAATGTCTTTGGTGTTTCATTTTTGAAATACGATCGACCTCGGTCACCAATTAGTAGACGTCAGTGATAGCGGTACGAAACGCGCAGTGCGTGTGGGTGCGAGCGACCTGTGTTGTTTTGGGCGGGCTGTGCCATGTGATATTCACTGAACCGCAGGTTTGAGTCGCTGGCCCAAGCCTTCTTTACTGAGGAGTTCCGCACTTGCAAGCACCACATGCGGCACAAGACCACCATGATATCCCCGCTCCAGATTCAGAAGGCGGGCATCGGCTACTGCACGGCAGTTCAGGCAAGGCGAACGGAGGAAGGAAGTTGATCCTTTATCTGTGTCCAATGCACGAAGGACCTGATGTTGCCGGCACGTGACACGCGGGGAATAAGTTCCTCGGTTAGCAAAACGTCGTGTTGCGTAAAACATTTCCCTGGCCTTGCGGGTACATGACGTATGTTCCATCCAAAAGGGCCGGTTTCCTTTGTTTTTGCGGCGGTCGTGCCTCTCATGGACCTTTTGTAGGCGGTTGGGAAGTCTTCAACGATGAAACACCACCTGCCCCATACCGCCAACACGTAAGGGAGGTCTCACGATAACTGACGTGTGGTTCCTCCCCCCCCCTCACGCCCGTGTGGTCCCTCAGGAAGCTGGCGAGTTCATGATAACCTTTCCCGGTTCTTATCATGGCGGTTTCAACCACGGCTTTAACTTGGCCGAGTCGACAAACTTCGCCATTGACCGCTGGATAAGTCAAGGTCGTGGGGCGGGGTACTGCCGCTGCAGCCCCCACAGCGTGCGCATAGACGTCGACCGGTTCGAGACCCTCGTTCGCCAGCACAGGTGCGTTTGCGCAGAGGATGACGCCTTTCCTTCGTGCAAATGTTTACTTGCTGTTTTGGTGCCGCGGCACCTTCTTTCGTAGGTGGTTTTGAGATCGCAGGCGGCCGCTACTGCTGAGTGCCGCTGGCGGTGGACTCTGTATCGCTGCTTCTCACTCATTGGCGAGATGCCCGCATTCTCAACTTGCATCGCCAACGGTTGAACTTTTGTCTGTGCTTAGGATGCTGGTGTGTTGTCGACTTAGTGCCGAGGTAAAGCTTTGGTCAAGAAGAAAATACTTGAACGGCTAACCTTTTCCCCAAACGTTGAAACGCTTGGCGTCTATTTGTCATGGTTCTACCGTTGTTTCTCTCCTCTTGCTGTGCAGGAGAATTGCAGGCAAGGAGTCCACCTGTCTCAACGGGCTAGCCGAAACCCCTGCGACGGTTGCACTGGCTTCGGCGGGCCGCGCTGCCGGAAAGGACAGCTCGAGTACCCCAGCCGAGGCGCGTTCAACAACGCAATCAGCTGCACCTGCATCAGAAGCATTAGCAACAACAGTAGCAGCAGCAGGGGCTTCCCGGGCAGGCGGCGGCGGGAGCCAGGGGCACGATGATGACGAAGACGACTCCGACGAAGATAGCGAGAGCGAGTGGAGGGAAGAGGTGGACATGAATATCCAGGTGTTCCACTGCGTGTGCAGCCACATCCGCACGGTGCGGCGGGTGCGGTGGGCGGAGGACGGCAGTTTCGTCGTAGCGCCCCCCGAAACACCCCCCTCTTCCTCCTCTTCCTCCTCTTCCTCCGCCACCGCGGTCCCAGCATGGCCCGATGAAGAAGACATCGCGCCGTGTCCGCGGTGCGGAGTGTGGGGGCACAAAACTTGTTTGGAGTATGTCGTCCCGTTGCAGTACGCTATCCCGGAACCTGGCACGGGCTCCACCACGACGAGGGCGGAAAGTGGCAGCAGCAACCGGCCAGGAGCGACTGCCGCCTGCAATGAACAAGAGAGGGACGGCACGCCCGCGCGGATCGAATTGCCCGAGACCTCGGCAGGAGTGGACAAGCTGGGCCCAATACGCAGCACCAGCAACGCTGCTGATGACGGTGCTGGTATTGCTGCAGACCTAACAGCAACAGCAACAGCAGCAGCAGCAGCAGTAACAGGGGCCGAAAGCACTACTTCTCCCCCAACGACGGTAGTGTATCGCCCCGTTTGCTGGATGTGCATGCAAGAGAAGGAGGAAGTCGCGGCTATGTCTGTGGCGGCGGGGCCAAGCGGCGGGGGAGCGGCGGCGGCAGCTCCGCGACGCACAGGAAATACTAGCGGCGGTGGTAGCAGCGGCGCAGCCGGCGGTGCCGGCGGTGGTGGAAGCGGCAACAGCAGCAGCAGCGGAGGAGTTAGCAGCGCCCAGAATTCTACCGGCGGCGGCACCCGCGAGAATCACAGCGGGGCGAAAAACAATGTCGGGCCGAAAAAGAAGACTGTCGTCAAAGGTGAAGAGTTGAAAGCGAGGAAGAGGGTGCGCTCGTGCGACAGTGGTGGAGGCGGTGGCGGTGCTTGTTCATCGACGAAGAAGGCATCCGCAGGAGCGCGCGCGACACCGACTGAGGCAGTGCGAGCATCCGCCGTCGATTCTGCTGTACCGGGAGCGTTAAAACGGGCTCGCATTGGGCCGAGATTGATAGGGAAAGAGGTGCTCGTGTCGGACGGGGTGGCGGTGGTGTTGACGGGAGTGGTGACGGCGATCGAGGCCGGACAAGCACGTCTTCACTACAAAGGTCGGAAGGCGAAACTAGACGAGTGGATCGACGTCCGCTCGGAGAGATTCCTTTCTGCGACCGAGGTGAGATTGTTGTGGAGGCTCTAGGTAAACGATGGTTCCAGGGTACATTATTTATTTTATATGTACTTCACAGTAGATTAATTGATACGAAGTAGTTAATTTTGCTCTTCCGACCACCTGAGTGATTACCGGGTGATCTCGTACCTCATCCGTGTGCTCTAGCCGGTCCAAATTTCCACCATGCCCTTGCCTAAAGTAACCCCCTCTGCACCCTACCTTATTTTGCCCAGGCGAAGAAGCAGATCGAACTCACTCAATTGGCCATGAACCCTTCTGCCGGCCGTGTCACCGGCCCTTCCGGTGGCCCTGCTGGAAAGAAAAGAAAGGCCGTGCCCGGCGGCAGCGGTAGCGAAAACAACGGCGGCGGATCCGGTGGAAAGCGTGCGAAGAAAGGGGGCGACGGTGATGGCGTCGAGAAGGCCAGGTACAAAAAGGACAGGGACAAGAAGCTCGGTGACGGCAAGGCTGGAACGGCCGGCGGGGAGAACAAGGCGGGCCCCATGAAAGCCAAGACCAAGGCAGCGGGCGACGGGACAAACGCGAACGCCAACGGGAACCGGAAGAAGGACGGGAAGACGGTAGCAGCTATCAGCAATAAGCACCGTCGCGGCGAGAAGATCGCGAGCGGGGCCAAGGAGGCGGCGGGAAAAAGCTCCTCCCCAAGTCGCAAAAGCAAGACGAAAACGGGCAAGATGCGGGCGGTCGGGGGGTGCGAAACGGGCTCGAAAAGCAACCCGGGGCGCAAGAAAGCAGGGGAACCCGACATCCGGAGCAACGGCTTAAGTAAGCTGAAGAGCGCCGGCGGCAAATCTGGTCAAGCTAGAGCACTGGGTAATGGGTGTTCCACCGGGAGAAGCAGTGGTGGCGGTACTACCAGCAGAAAAACCAAGCACCATAGTGATAAGAAGGTGACAAAGAAAAAGCCCAGAATGGGCTTGTCCATCAAGCCCACAATTATCCCCCCGCCTGTCGTTGTCCAGAGAGAAGTTCCCGAGCACCACGTGATATCCAACCGACGGGCAGCGGTACTCGCCCGGACTTTCGCCAAGGAGACCGAGGAGGCACGGAAAGATTTCGAAGAGGCTGTTGCCGCCGCAGAGCGCTCGCGGGTTGCTCGTGAGCAGCGCCTGAAGACTTCCTCACCTCGAGTCCTCCCGCGTCCGCCAGCGTCTCAAGGCGCTCCTTCATCCTATTCTGCTAAATCAGTCGGAGGTGGCGATGGCAGCGCCAACGATCCCACGGCCGCGGCTACCGCCGTGTCTTCAGGTCCAGGCCGCCGCTATGTATGGCCAGATCTAGGTTTCGGTGGTCAGCCGTGGGGTCTGGGACCGTTCTACCGCGAAGAGGAAGCCGACGGGGGGGACTCGTCTGCGAGCCTCGATCCCACAATGGACAGGGAGCCGTCGCCGTCACCATCGTGCGCCGCTTTCGCCCAAGGAGGGTCCAGCCACTCGAGAAAGCCAGGAGAGCAAGGCAAGCTTGAGCATATCGATGCGCACGCACACGGGTGTGTGGCGGAGCTGGGGGAAACATGGCAGGGCGATGGGAGTGCCGCGAGATCGCCAGTCGGGGCGGCATCAGCGTCGGCGGCGATTCCGACAAAACCGCCTCGAGCGCCAAAGGAAGTACGCCGGGCAAGGGTATACGCCGGAGAGGCGGTTGACCTCGGGGAAGACGCGGCGTTCCGGAAATGGCTCGGGCGACTCCGAGTTATTCAGGTGCGTGCGGTACTGGGGTTGTTGTGCGCTTGAATGGTACATCTAGAGAGTCTTGCAGCGATGTTGCGGTGAAAACGCGAGGCGGGTACCGAGGGATCGATCAACCTGCGCCTGGTATTGGTTTTATATAGTGTGCAGTACTCTCCATGGTCTGACGGGACGGGTTCAACGCAACTGGGTGACCCTGTGGTCGGCGCTCCCTGTTGTTGTACTCGGTGCGCTCCTTGTCCCGCTGTTGCCTGGTATCGAAGCATTCGGCTGCGCGTCTTTTTTCGGCGTAGCTTGTCTCTTCTGCCGCCGATTTTTGCATGTCACAACGGCAAGGATGACTGTTACATTCTTGAATAGGGATCATGGACAACGACCCGACTGAAGAGCTGCATTAGGGTAATCACGCAATCTAATCGCCGCAGCGGATGCACGCGGGGTTTGCTCTGCCAGCATTGGGTAAGAAAAGCTACCATTGCAGATAATTTTTTTCAAGATTTCAATTGATGCTAGCGTGCTCCGTTCGGGAGGGCTGGTAAGAGAGAATCGGGGGTTCAGGTAGAAGTAGTTTGTTTTTTGCAGGCTCCCGTTACGTTTGCTCTTCGGCAAATCTATGAATCCGGCAACTCTAATTCACCAAAGTGCCTGCAGTGAACACCTATCGAGCGTCGTGCGTGCTTGTTTCCTTACGATCTAACAAAGCCTTGGACTGGCCTGGTGTCGTCGTCTTTTCTTTAACGTCAAACAGGATATACCGGTAGGCCACGTGGAGAAGTGCTCCCGTTCTTTGGCTGTGCTCCTCGGGACATCGCCACCGGATGGGTCGGTGAGGGCTTCCGTCCGGGCACTTCTTGTTGCCGAGACTCTGAGAGGTGGCGCCAGCCACGAGGTTGCGACTTTCGTACGGAGTCTCGCGGGTTTGATGGCAGACGCCGCGTCGAAGGCAAGCCCTCCGAAGTCGGCGGCATCCACACCAACTGTTGGAAACCCAGTGATACCGTCGGGCGGTGATAGCCATGACAACGCGCGGTTTTCGCCTGGCAAGGATCAAGTGTGTGTGGACACCTTGGATTTGGATGCCAAGAAACGCCACTGTGCGGTCGGAGACAACACCGACCCGGCAGCAGTGTCCATCCGGGACAAGGAGGGGGCCGCTGCCTACGCCCATGCTCTGACGTATCTGGCGCGTTCGAAACGCAAGCAAGACAGGGCGGCGGCGCTAGCGATACGAGAGAAAGAAGAGGCCGAGGCTGTGGCGGCGGCGGCTGCTGCAGCACTCGCGGAGGCCCAAAGCAGCAAGAAAGGCAAGAAGACCAAGAAAGCTGCGTGGGCGATGAGGCGGCACCTCGAAGCGGTCGAAACGGCGCAGGTGGTTGTACTGCCATCTTCCCAGGAGCCACCACCAGCGGTGGTGGGTAACCTTTTGGGCGGGTACCCGTTCTCGCGCTCGGGTGACTCGTTGCTGATGCATGCCAAGACAATGGTCGGGCTCAAGCGCGCTCACCGTTGGGTGACTGCTTGGTTAAACGCGCCGTCAAACCCGCCTACGGGGGGTGCTCCAAGTGACGTCGGCAGAGACAATATAGTTAGCGCAAACACCTATGCCAGCAGAAGCAGCAAGGAGAGGGCGGGTGCCGTGGAGAATGGAGCTGACATCATCAAGCCCCCAAACAACACTGTCGACAGCAGCAGCAAGGAGAGGGAGGGTGCCGTCGAGAAAGGGACTGACGTCATCAAGCCCCCGTCTGGGTGTGGTACAGGAGCGCGTGTTGGTCCAGTCGCTCATCCTCCACCGCTGGTGGTTGCTTCTGCTCCTCCTGCGCCGGCTACCCATCATTCACTGCTCGCGACGACCGCCGCTTCTCGTGCGTCAGCCGCCCATGCCTCGCCGCTCGTTGCTGCTGCTGCTGCTTCTGCTGCTGCTGCTTCTGCTGCTGCTGCCGCTGCTACACGCCGGCCTTGCTACAGTGCTGGCGCTCTGATCGGGTGGCAACATGCATTTATGCCTGGTCTACCGCCTGCTCTACCGCCACACGCGTCTCTGCGAGCTGCTGTTTTGTCGTCGGCCCCGGCCACGGCAGCGCCTCACTACCCTGCTGCTGAAACCAGTGGTGCTGTTGCGACGGCTACTGCTGCTGCTGCGACCGCTGCTGCTGCTGCGGCTGTTGGTGCCCTGCCCACAATGCACCTCAGACCTTACATGCATGGCACACATGGGGGGCTCAATGCAGACTCGGCTGCTGCGTACCACAATGCTTTGCTTTCAATGTGGCCGCCAGCTGCCGCGGGTGGGGTGGGCTGGTCGACCCCGTCCAACGCACCAGCTACGATGCCGGCTGCTCCGGCTCCTGCTCCTGCTCCTGTTCCTGTTCCTGTTCCTGCTCCCGCTCCCTCAGGATCGCTTGGCGGTCCGCCGGTAGACTTGCTGGCGCGCTGGGAGAAGGTCGGAGCTGTTGCAGTCGCCCAGCCAGTACCAGGTGCGGGTGGCGACGATGACGACGAGGAGGTGATGGTTGACTGAGAGCGTCTGTACCAGTTTGCACAACGGCTAGGGGTTTTGTCTCTAACATGAGAATGCGCTCGGGCAGCGTTGACCCTTGTGGAGAATGTCGCCGGGGCAGGTGCAGCATCGCAGTGATGAGGGACGGGGTTTGGGTTTGTCCATAGAACGTGATATTGTATCTTGTGTGCCGGACGTTTTGCGTGTGACTGGGATGTTTATAGTGTATCTGACTAGTGTTTGTTCTAGTATTGCCTCCAGCGAAGTTCTCCGTAATTTCCCTCAGTCAACTCAGTGCGCCTGAGTTTGACGGTGCTGGGTCGTTTGGTTGCTCGCGGTTTGTCCTTCGTCCGTATACTGAAGCCAGAGCTGCAGGAAGCCATGCGTGGGTAGTTTGTGCCAGGAATGGTAGATTTTTTAAATGTAGACAAGAGACTGAGTATCACACTTCTTTAGCCCACGAAAAGCGTATGACAGTATGCGTGCTTGTCCATAAAGGTGAGCCCAACTCCCATCGATTGACGTGTGGGAGAGTTGAAAGCAGTCTCGGTTGGGCGGGTTGAAGTCAAGTCGTTATTATTCGGCACATATATAGCACACGAAGACTTCTCTGAGTGCGTGTAGTTGGCTTTATATGGAGCACCAGCGCACCCAAGGTCCGGGTCCCGTCCGCCTTCAACCGCTTGCGTGCCTTGTGCCCGTGTATTCGGCTTTGCCAGCTGTCGCGTATCTTCCCCGGTTTAGGGTTTCAACCGTAGAACGGTGCATTTTGCTGCGTAAATTATTCCGAGCAAGGCTTTTGTATCCCGCGCTCATGCTTTTTGTAGGTGATCGACACGACCGGACTGGAGGTTGATTACAAGTCGCAACCCGAGATTGGTGTTTGTGTCGTTTTTGAGGAGCATGTATTTTACGGGTCTGTAGCCATAAGGCTGTGTTCCTGTTAATTTGAGCAATTCGTGCTTGGTAGTCGAATGTAAAAGCGATAGCGGCGCTCTGTGCCCGTCTCCCTTGGCCCTAGAGCAACGAGTTTGTTGCTACATCTCGTGGAGGAGATGCCGATTCTACTTGGAAGGGTGGAGCCTTCTTCGGAGATGCGACTTGTCAGGCAGGCCATCTTTCTTCGAGTTTGGATCAAGTTCTGTCCTTGGACCACCAATAACCTGCGATAGCGCTACGTAGTTGCTCGAACGAGGCGAGGCCGTAGCTTGACCCGAACAAGTGGGCAAGTCGGAGGTGGAGATGGCGAAGCAGGCAGCAGGAGGTGCGAAACTCCCGCCGTTGTTGCCCTCCTTGGACATATGCAATATTGCACCATTCTAGTCGTACCGCCAACTCATTGTCGAGCCCCCGAGCAGAGCGGTGCGGGTGTTGTTCGTGACAGAGGTCTGTAAACGTTTGTGCTGCGACCAGAGGATTCTCCGTCGTTTTCCTTCTTGACGGTATAATTCAACATAACTGCGACCTAAAAGGTCTTCATCAGGGGTGTCAAGGGTAAGGTGATTCATTCCGTTTTGACGCAACCTCTGAAGCAAGCGAGCGTTTGATTTTCATTCTCCCACGGGGTCCCTTGAGAGCGTCTTGTGGTCCCAACCCCATCTGGAAGCGTGCCGCTGGATTTCCTGCTGCTCCTGGCGTGAGACTATCCGCTCGATGATTTCTCCCGTGCCCTTTACTAGCCTCCACCGCCCAGTGTCTTCATCGAAAACCTGTTTCCCGGACAACATGTTGGTGTGAACACGCATTAGCGCCTTGTGTTGTTCCAATCCGAGTAGGATTGGTTTCTGCTGCGGAAACGAAAGAACTTAAAAGAAATCTTGTCTGCGTCTTTTTGGAAGCGTTTTTTTGGAAGCTTTTTGTGACCGTGGCCGTTTTTTCTCAGCTCGCGGAAGTTACAAGCACAAAATCGCGGTGCCTTCGCGCGACCCACGCCTGGAGGGCCCTGTCCAAGGATTTCAATCGAAGCAACACCTGTATCAAACGCAAGCATTAGCATTGTGTCTTGCTTCTGCCCACACCAGCACCCCATTGACGTCTTTTTAGTGTCTGCCTTTCTATCTCGCCGCGGCTTAATTCTCTGAGATCAACACCGCTATCACAACGAGGCTCGCGGCCCTAGGATGCCGCGACAACAAAAAGAAACGCTGGTGGTGAGCACAGCGAGCACGCCTATACACACAGCAGCTCCCGAAGACGAGCATCGAAAGCGCTACCAGCACATCCGTTCACATTGGGCTGTTGACGCTTGTAGGCGACGAAAAGTCACGTGTCAAACTATATCACCATCGGCAGTCTTTTTGTTGGACTGTCGTTCCGCTTTTGCACCTCGCGTGCACCTTGAGAGGCACGTCATATCCATCTCACCAGTCTTTCACAAGCAATCATACTGCGACGAAGCACTCCTCCCTGCACCTATTTTTTACATGCAGTGTAGGCCATGCTCTACTAAGCTATGGCGAACCGTGTGCGGCACACTCCAACGTTTTGGTACGCGTTGGGTGTGTCTCAACTGACGACACTCTACTGAGGTAACTTTTCCTACACACCAGCAGCCTTTTTTTGTCGCTGTCCGTCGATAAAATTGTTCACAATTTGCTTCAACCGCATGGAGCACTGCAGCAACCCCTCTCTACATACCGCTGCGATTGGTGCTGATGCATGCACTGGACGGCCGGTGGCCTTCGTTGCATGGTAGCAGAGTTTGACAAACAGGCAAAACCTGACGCTGCAGAAAAGTGGATGGGTGTGCGAAGTGTTAAGAAGCACAACGACCACCAAGAGTCTTGACAAACTCCGCAAGTAGTTCGGCAAAAGCCTCGGCAAAAAAAGCCGCGCGCCGACGTTCGCGCAACGCAAGCATGTCTTGTGCCGTTTGATTTGGAACACTTGGTCGTAACCAACCATGCACGTTCAAAGGAGAGCGGACCTCGGATTGGAGGCAGCCCTGCGTGAGCAGGGCACTTTATGCCAAAACAATCAACATTGATAGGGGAGAGAAAAATCTGACAAGTCTTGAGAGGGAAGCCACATTGAGCCCCTTTCCTTTTCGCTCCTCATATACGCCTGAACACAGCCTTCAACTGAGCGATCATTCATTTCCCCCCTCCCTCGAGGTCAATGGTCTAACGACTACGGCATGCACGACTATGAGTACCCC